TCAACTGTGGGTTCTGTGTTCCTTTCTGCCTGCTCTCTTCCCTCCCTCTCCATTGGCTGCAACGGGAGGACCAATCAGAAGAGACAGTAGGGGAGCATCATGGGACATGTAGTCCCTGTTCAAGCGGCCCCCTTCTAAGCTAAAAGAACCAAGCTACATTTCCCACAAGGGAATGTTAGCTGGAGCCAGGGAGAAAACTGGACAGCGCTGCAAGAAGAGACACAGGACTTGGGTAAGAGCTGAGGGCCATTTCAGGAGTCTGGATTGGACTGTACCAGAAGATGGAAAAAGGGTTTTGCTGACTGTAAGGATAGTCGATCTTTCAGGCAGATGGATCATGGTAACATGATCAGTATTGCTACTTCCTCCTATGGATTGAGAGAACAAAGGCCCCTCCACCCCCACCTAAGAGACCATCCTTCACACTGCTAGGACTACAGAGAAGTCCAAGCTGTGTCCAGTTACTAGAGATTCTGTTGTTTTTAGGTTTTTAGTTGCTTCAGTCCAGTATACTTTGCATAACAGTTTGCCACTTTGGACTTCCTAGTCGAATCAATATTGCAGCCTACCAATTAAGTGTCCCCCGCCCACCCCACCCCCCCCCATTGCTCTAAATGCAGGTGTCCTTGCTGGCAGAAATATTGTTAGTGCCTCATCTTAAACCTTTTCCAGCTGTAAAAAAAACTTCAGCTCTAAAGTGCATCAACTAGGGCCCCACCAAGCACACAATAGAATCTGTTCTGATATTTGGGAGTAATACTAATGGGGGTGTTATTATATGTAACTTCATTCTGTGCGCTAAACCCTGTTTCTAGTCTTTGAGCATGCACAAGTGAGTTAGCCTGATTTCTCTTTGTTCTCTACTCACTGGATACTCACTACTGAATAAGGACATCAAAAGCATCCTGATACACATAGAGACACTGGAGAACAAAGCACTTGATGACCTTCCTATAAACTACAGGTCAAATCCCTGTGGTGGGTGGGCATGTTTTATAAACACGTGAATCAGAAGGTCAAAGGTGCGAGAAAAGAAGATGCACTTGAAATCTATTATTTGGGTGTCGGGTCACGATAATTGGACTTGGATTATTATATTGAGTTGTGGACTTTTTGTTGTTAAATTCCAGATTAATGCAATAGTGATAGTGCCATAAACCTTGTTTATATAGGAATTTATGTAAGTGACATAAGCACTTAAAGGGGCAGAATAACTTTTTTGGTTGTTGGTTTTATTCATACAGTATTTCTTTGTTAACGCACCACATTACTATACAAATTTTGGTAGTTAATATATCCATACAAAGGGAGGGCAAAACCGCAAAAAGGTTTTGGTTTTTTTTTTTCCAATGGTATGAAAGGGACTTAAAGCGTGGTAGTAAACCTCAGGAAAGAGAAAAAAAAAAGTTCATGTCATAATGTTAGTATGCATTGCATACTAGCACATTATGTAAAACTTTACCTTAAAACGAAGCCCTTCACGGCACGCTGTCACCTCTGCAAAGGCTTCACTTCACCCAAAGGCTTCCTTCCCTTCTCACAACCTTCCTTCCAGGTTCCAGGAGCTCCGGCTGTATGTCCAGGCCGGGCTGCGATGACGTCACTCCCCGCTCATGTGCGCGGAAGTCCTGGGCCATGGCACACAGCTTTGAAGGAACAGCACGAGTATGCTGTTCCTTCAGAGAGCATGCACCAGCTTAAAAAAAGAGAGAATATCTCCTAAACAGTGCACATTTAGGAGATATTCATTTTACCTACAGGTAAGCTTTTACTATAAGCCTACTGGCTGTAGGTAGAATTAAAAAAAACAAGTTTACTACCACTTTAACCCCCTTGCCTACTGGGCACTTTTACCCCCTTCATGGCCAGGCCAATTTTCAGCTTCATGTCAGCGCTGTCGCACTTTGAATGACAATTGCGCGGTCATGCAACATTCTACCTTTATGAAATTTTTATCATTTTTTTATCATCACAAACAGAGCTTTATCACCACTGGCTTGGTGGTATTTTAATTTTGGTGGGTATCACCACTGGCTGTTTTATTTTTTTTGCACTATAAACAAAAACAAAAAAAAAAATTTGGAAAAAAAAAAAGTTTTTCTTTGTGTCTATTATAAAATCTTGCAATCAGGTAATTGTTCTCCTTCACTAATGTGCATTGATGAGCCTGCACTGATGGGAACTGATAGGCAGCACTGATGGACACTGATGAGGTGGCACAGATAGGCAGAGCACTGATGGGCACTGATAGACTGCCCTGATGAGGGTGGCACTGATGAGGCGGCACGGGTGGACATTGATGAGGAGGCACTTGATGATGCTGCACTGATATGCAGCAATGATGGCCACTTATAGGCAGCACTGACAGGCACTGATGGGTGCGGTGGCACTGCTAGGCACTGGTAAGAGGCACTGATGGGCACTAGTACTTGGGCACTGGTGGCTGGCAGTGGTGGGTGGCGCTGCTGGGTGGCACTGCTGGGCACTGATCATGAATGTCCTGATGATCAGTTGCTGATCTGGTCTGTGTGACAGCTTCCGGTTATCGCCAGTACTTTCCTCATCACACTGTGACAGCGTAAGGAAAGTGCTGCCGATATCTAGCAACTGTATTTACTCCGTGCTCTGCTGTGTCTTTGGACACAGCTGATCATGTGGTAAAAAGGCCGCTGTGAATGGTCTTTCACATCAGCACGGGATCAGCTGTGTCCGTAGGACACTGCGTCACAGAGATCGCCGGGTGCTGGGGGGCCGCGTGGGGAGGCGCATTCTGGGAGAACATCATATGACACCCTCCTAGAACTGAGGTAACCACACACTGTAGACGTCTTTCAGCTATAGCGTGGTTACCAAGTGGTTAAAGTGTTACTCAAACCCACAACAGTGAAATCAGTCTGTAAATGCAGTTAAACACATGCTTGTTATACTCACTGTGGAATTGAAGGAGTTAATTCTCTGCATTGTGTAAAAAGGATGTTTGATCATGTCTTCTTTGATCCTCCCCATCTTTTGTTGTCCCCAATCCATCTGCCATAGTTGGAGAAGCAATGGCAAGTTTGCACATGCTCTATTTTGGTGTGTATTGCTAGTGAGGGTGCATGTGATCAACACAGGGCCAATCCTAGCACTGTTCAGACAGAGGGTCAGGGGTTATGCAGCCTATATAGGACAGTCCGAGGGGAATAAAAACTCCTACAAGATTAACCAGTGCTCTGCTGAATACTGATAGAAGTCGCAAACTGCTGTCTAAACTGCTGATGAAGTTCGTACTTGTGCTTAGGTATTGTAGAGCAGTTTATATTGTGTGTACTGTGTAAAAAATTGCCATTCCAGTTGTACTGTGATAATAAGTGATTTCCATGTTGTGGTACTGTGAGAGACCAGATATAGTGAATGCAGGGTCCATGAGGAGACCAGTTATAGTGAATGCAGGGTCCTGGGTTTAGTAACACTATAAAGTGTAATGGCATCTAAAACATTTTTTTTTGTTTTGGACAGAAAGGGAAAGATGTTATTGTTTTTATGTCCTCGTCTTTGTGGCAATTTCCTCTTACTTCAGTTCCTAAAGACACCAGAAGGGAAGTATGGAAATTCTCCCAAAAAAAAGGGAAAAAGTCTAATTTTGACGATTGTCACCAGAATATATGCACTCTTCTACTCTTGTTCTGGTGACAATGTTAACATTTTAGATCTCTCTTCACATTGCATCCTGGTGACAATTTGTGCAGCTATAGCAATAAATACTTTTTTTTTAACCTTGTAGATAAATAATAACAGTGAAAAAGCGATCATGGAAAAATTCTTTGACTCCTATTTGCTGAGAGCATAATTATGAGTGCTAAAAATTCTCTGTCAAAATCTGTGAGCCAAAATGAATTTCAAAGTTCATTAGCCACATTCAAATTAGTCATTTAGTATCTTGTAGGTCTCTTGAGATGGGGATGACGCTGCCAAATTCTGGAAAGCACCCTGAAATCAGTAGTTTTTATCTTCATTGATAACCTGATGTATTCATTACTTCGGTACTTTCAGATACAACCATTTTTGTAGCATTTCCTCCCATATTTCCTTGGAACTTGCCACATTTATAAATTAATTTGTATAAAAGTGTTGGACGCATTCAGTTGTTTTACTCCAATTTTGCAGGTTTTTAGCCTGTTATTCTACAGTTTTTGTCCCTACTCTGTTTTGTTCCAGTTTGACAAGGGTTTTTTCCCAGTTCTGTCTGGTTCCAGTTCTACAGATTTGGTTTCCTATTATATTTTGTTTCCACAGTTTTTCCCTTTGCTCTTTTGTTTCAGGTCTACTTTTTTTGCTCTTTTTCTATTTTGTTTTAGTTCTATGGTTTTTGCTCATGTTCTGTTTTGTTATAACTTCAGTTTCTCCCTCTGCTCTGTTTTGTTCCAGTTCTACAGCTCTTGCTCCTGTTCTACTTTGTTTTTTTTTTTTTAAAAGAAGTGCCCAAACTCCTGTGCTACTAACTAGAGATGAGCGAATTATTCAAAAATTCGGTTCGGCTGATTCGCCGAATTCGCCGAATAAATTCGCTTCGAGCCGAATATATTCGCTGCGAATTTAACTTATAAAAAGGGTGTTTCTAGGCTTCAGAGAGCCTTTTATATTAGTGCAGAACACTGTACCTTTAATTTTAAATGCCCTTGGAGTCTGCTGGGGAAGAGAAATAATACTGTCAGTCAGTATGACATGCAGATGAGTGCCGTCGATCTTAGAATCACCGCACACTTCACTCATTTGGGCAGTCACGGGGCCAAAACCAGAGTGTGGAGCCACAGTGTGGCGGTGGAGGCAGCAGCAGCAATGGGAGGCCATACAGCACCCTATGACAAAATGGAACCCACCAGCAGTGTGAGGAGACCTGAAAGTGGCACATGGCAGAGTGTGGCGATGGAGACAGCAGCAATGGGAGGCCGTACAGGGACCCATGACACACTCTGGACCTGGCAGCAGCATGAGGAGGTGGTACAGGGGCCCATGACAGATTACGGGCCTGGCAGCAGCATGAGGAGTCGGTACGGGGGGCCCATGGCAGATTACGGGCCTGGCAGCAGCATGAGGAGGCGGCGGTACAGGGGCCCATGGCAGAGTGGCGGAGCGTAGTAAGCAGCTAAAATTGAAGGCCATACAGAGGCCTATGTTAAAAAGTCCCCCCAGCAGCAGCGTGGGGAGACGACTATCAAGAGTCCAATGGCAGAGAGTGGCGGAGCAGAAGCAGCTTCAATTGAAGGCCATACACAGGCCTAGGTTTAAAAGTCCCTCACAGTTAATTCCAATAACGAACTCTACTCCTCCGTGCAATCTACTTACGAGACCCTGGGCAGGTCTGGGTCCAATTTGTGGTAGAGACTGGTTTTGTTCAGCCATGCTTGAGCGAGTAGTAATAACAGGTCTGTGCTGCCCTTTGGTGTCTGGCTTAATGCGCACAACACTGAACGTCCCAGCGTTTGTCAACGATTTGCCGTTAAGTGATGCAAACCCCGCTGAACCACGTTCATGAGGAGCCGGTACAGGGGGCCATGAATCAGTATGGACCTGCAGCAGCAGCGTGAGCAGACGACAGAGGCACATGGCGCAGGGTGGCGGTGTAGGCAGCATTATTCTGAAGCCATACACAGGCCTAGGTTAAAAAGCGGAAGCCGTCAGCAGCGTGAGCAGACGACAGAGACACATGGCGCAGGGTGGCGGTGGGGATGCAGCAGTATTCGGAAGCCAATACACAGGCCTCAGTTAAAAAGCGGAAGCCGTCAGTCCGTCAGCAGCGTGAGCAGACGACAGAGGCACATGGCGCAGCAGGGTGGCGGTGGAGGCAGCAGCAATGGAAGGCCATACAGCACCCTATCACAAAATGGAACCCACCAACAGTGTAAGGAGACCTGAAAGTGGCACATGGCAGAGTCTGGCGATGAAGTCAGCAGCAATGGGAGGCCGTACAGGGACCCATGACACACTCTGGACCTGCAGCAGCAGCAAGAGGAGGCGGTAGGTACAGGGGCCCATGGTAGAGTGGCGAAGCGTAAGCAGCTTAAATTGAAGGCCATACAGAGGCCTATGTTAAAAAGTCCCCCCAGCAGCAGCAGTGTGGGGAGACGACTATCAAGAGTCCAATGGCAGAGTGGCGGAGCAGAAGCAGCTTCAATTGAAGGCCATACACAGGCCTAGGTTAAAAAAGCTCCCCCCAGCAGCAGCGTGGGGAGACGACTATCAAGAGTCCAAATGGCAGAGTGGCGGAGCGGAAGCAGCTTCAATTGAAGGCCATACACAGGCCTAGGTTAAAAAGTCCCCCCAGCAGCAGTGTGGGGAGACGACTATCAAGAGTCCAATGGCTGAGTGGCGATCCGGGAAGTCAGCGTTGTGATTGCAGATGCAATGCAGAAATTCTACGCAAAAGTAATGCCGTGGGTGCGAAGAAGATCATACTATACCGTCGTACTTCCATCCATAAGACGGAACAACCTGCGAACCGGGAGCTTTATTGCCCTGACCCGCTGAGCAGCTTCTGGGATACCCAAGAGTTTGGCTTCTGTGGGGAATATGGTTGAAAACTGAAACTTAAAGGCATGTTGACGGAAGGCAACCAGTGTCAGTGCTCCGGAGGGAATATAGCTTCAAAGCTGACACTTAAAGGTATATCGACGGTCAGAGACCACAGGAAGTGGAGCTTGCGTCTTAAATCGACTGAACTTTTGAATGTGGCAGACGTGAAACGTCTACGGGCTGTATATGAAACGGGTTGTTCCTCTTTCTGGAATAAGTGTTGGAAATGGCCACTCTTTTTGGTGTGGCGTTTTGTCTATTTAATTCCGATAACAGACTCTACTCCTCCCTGCAATCTAGTTACGAGACCCTGGGCAGGTCTGGGTCCAATTTGTGGTAGAGACTGGTTTTGTTCAGCCATGCTTGAGCGAGTAATAACAGGTCTGTGCTGCCCTTTGGTGTCTGGCTTAATGCGCACAACACTGAACGTCCCAGCATTTGTCAACGATTTGCCGTTAAGTGATGCAAACCCGCTGAACCACGTTCATGAGGAGCCGGTACAGGGGGGCCATGAATCAGTATGGACCTGGCAGCAGTGTGAGGAGACCCGAAAGTGGCACATGGCGCAGGGTGGCGGTGGAGGCAGCAGTATTCGGAAGACATACACAGGACTAGTTTTAAAAAGCGGAAGCCCAGTCAGTCAGCAGCGTGAGCAGATGATGACAGAGGCACATGGCGCAGGGTGGCGGTGGGAGGCAGCAGTATTCGGAAGCCATACACAGGCCTAGGTGAAAAAGCGGAAGCCGTCAGCAGCAGCGTGAGCAGACGACAGAGGCACATGGCGCAGGGTGGTGTGGGTGGTCAGCAGTATTCGGAAGCCATACACAGGCCTAGGTTTAAAACTGGAACCCAGCAGCGTGAGCAGACGACAAAGACGCACATGGCAGAGGATGGATCTGGCAGCAGTATGAGAAGGCGGTACAGGGGCCCGTGGCACAGTGTGGTGATGGGGGCTACAGCAACTGGATGCCAGAAAGTGGCCGATAGGGCTATATACTGCATGGAATTATAAAGTTGTAAAGACAGCGGCCTATAAGGCTATACACACTAGAACAAATCATGACTTGATTGACCATTGGCCTATAAGGCTATACACAGCATGAATATCATGACTTATTCTGAGAGTGGTTTGGAAGGCTATATACAAAAAGTAATTCATGAGCTGTCCGGACAGCGGACAATAAGTACATACATACTAGATTGTAAGCTCGAAAGAGCAGGGCCCTCGATCCCCTCATGTTTTTTGCATTGTATTGGTATTGTTCTGTCACATGTTCTGTCCCCCTTTGTAATGTACAGCGCTGAGTGAACTATTGGCGCTTTATAAATACTGTATAATAATAAATAATATACAAATCAATTCATCAGCTGTCCAGCCAGCGGCCTCAAAGGCGACACATATAGAAAGCAATTCATGAGCTGTTCAGACAGCGGCCTCTAAGGCGACAGATATACAAAGCAATTCCCGAGGTGTTCAGGGAGCGGCCTGAACGGCTAGGTTATTACTAAATATATTTTTGTGGCCAAACATCGGCCTATAAATAGATAGATTGTCTACACAGTGCCAAAAAATTATGTTGCCAGACAGCGGCCCCTAAGGCGACAGATATACAAAGCAATTCCCGAGGTGTTCAGTGAGCGGCTTGAACGGCTAGGTTATTACTAAATATATCTTTCTGGACAAACATCGGCCTATAAATAGATGTCTACACAGTGACAAAAAAGTAGGTCGCCGTACAGCGGCGTATCCTACAAATTGACATTATAAGAAATGGTTTAGACCAAAAAAAAAAAAAAAAAAAAACTTTGATGCGATGCTATAACCTTAGTAGATTGTGGAAAGTCGACAAGTCAAGCATAACTGTGTACATTACAGAAAATCTTAACAAGACAACCAAACATGTGGCCAAACCGTGACCGATACAACAAGTTAACAATGTAAGAAACAGGAGGGGGCCAAACCGTGGCCAATAAATAATAACAGTCCACCTCATTGATGAGATGGACAACACGTGTCAAATAAATATTTAAAAAAATTGCTATTCCATCGGTCTGGAACTGGGTCGACTATAAATAATTAAAAAGTTTTAAAATTCATGTGACAGCCGTCCAGCGACGTATAAATAATTTAAAAACACCAATTCATGAGGGGCCCGACCAGCAGCAGAGTATAAGTCATTAAAAAGGTTCAATTCATGTGACGGTCGTCCAGCGAAGTATAAATAATTTAAAAAAACCCAATTCATGAGGGCCCGACCTGCAGAGTATAAGTCATTAAAAATGTGCAAAAACATGAGTCGGCCGACCAGCAGCCTCTCAATAAAATATATATATACAAATGTACGGATCAGGTGGAGGGTCTTCCATTTGTCCCTAATAACATGTTTTGGGGCATGATTCATGGCGGATTTAGTCAGTTGTGTCAGGAACTGGTGGTTTGAAATCCAGACTAATCCACGCCTGATTCATTTTCACAAACGTGAGTCTCTCCACACTTTGGGTGGACAGTCGTGTCCCTCCGCGGAGTTACAGTACCTCCTGCCGCACTAAACACGCGCTCCGATGCCACGCTACTGGCCGGGCATGACAGCCTTTCAAGGGCAAATTCAGCTAGTTGGGGCCAAAGGTCAAGTTTCGTTGCCCAGTAGTCAAGGGGATTGTCTACCTCAGTTGGCAGGGTGCTGTCCAAGTAGGCCCAAGCCTGTTGTTTGAGGTCCTGCTCCAGGTCCACCTGATGCTGCTGCTGCTGCTGCGGCTGGTTAGTAGTTTCCTCACTGCGCTGGTGAAGAAAGCTACTCATCATCGACTGCAGACTGGGCAGCCCGCTGCTGGTGGAGCTGCCACTGCTCCTACCACCCCATCCCCCTCCCCTGCTGCCATGGCAGCGGAACGCGAGCGCACAGGGCCCACAGTGTCTGAGGATGGACGTTGGCGCAGAAAGGCAGGCAGAGACCAACTGACTACATAGGTGGTTTTTATAGTACGTTATTTTGGCCTCCCTCTCAGCAGGTGTGAAAAAGGCCACCATTTTTGAACGGTAGCGAGGGTCCAACAAGGTGGACAGCCAAAAGTCATCCCTCTGTCTGATGGTTATTATTCGGCTGTCGCTACGCAAGCAACCGAGCATGCTATGGGCCATTTGTGCCAAGGAATGCGAGGGACTCCCTGCCTCCATCTCCACAGCATACTGCCACGGTGCGTCTGGGTCCTCTGTCTCCTCCTCCTCCTCTACCAGATGCTCCTGCTCCTCCACTCCTGTCCGCTGAGTGGAAAAAACCACCCATTTCACTCAATAATTCCTGAGCACCAATGTCCTCCTCTACCTCCTCCTCTTCTTCCTGTCCTGCCCCCACAGGGGTCATGTGGCGTTGAGATCTGTGCGCCACGTCTACCGCACCCTGACCAGCCATTGTTAACAGCATTTGTTCCAGGACGTGCAACAGAGGAATGACGTCGTTCATCCCATAGTCCTGCCGACTCACGAATAGCGTGGCCTCCTCAAAGGGCCTGAGCAAGCGGCAGGTGTCACGCATGAGCTGCCAATGGCTGACATCTAAGTTACACAGGGGGAGTACCTTTATCCGCTTGTAACATCAGGAAATCTGTGATGGCCTTTCGCTGTTCGTAAAGGCGGTCTAACATATGTAGGGTTGAATTCCACCTTGTTGCAACGTCGCAGATCAGGCGATGCTGTGGAATTCCGTTCTGCCCTGCTGCAGCTCAAGGAGGGTGTGCTTTGCGGTGTAGGAATGGCTGAAATGCATGCAAAGTTTACGTGACATTTTAAAGGATGTCTTGCAGTGGGATGGTGGATTTTTAGGAACCGCTTGACAACCAGATTGAACACGTGAGCCATGCATGGCGCATGGCACAACCTTCCTTGACGCAGAGCAGACACCATGTTCTTTCCGTTGTCGGTCAACATGGTTCCGATTTTCAGTTTGCGCGGAGACAGCCATCTGTCGATTTCTCTGTTCATTACACTCAGAAGTTCCTCCCCTGTGTGACTACGTTCGCCAAGGCATACCAGGTGCAGAACAGCGTGACACACCGTTGCGCCCTGCACATGTGATATGCCGGTCGGGTAATGGGACTTGGCACGGGGGTAGCGGCTGAGGACACGGCGGAAGAAGAGGTGGTAGAGGCGGACATCTTTGCTGGACCAAGGACGTGCAAACGTGGAGGCAAAAGCGGCGTGACCTGTCCAAGTTGCTGGTGCGGCTGTGCCGGCACCACGTTCACCCAGTGGGCCGTAAATGACATGTACTGTCCCTGACCGTAGTTACAGCTCCACACGTCGGCGCTGCCGTGCACTTTGGCAGAGACCGACATGCTCAAGACTGGCCCACCATCTCTTCTACATGTGAATGCAGGGCTGACACTGCCTTTTTTGGCGAAGAAATGCCGGCTTGGCACTCTCCACCGCGGCTCGGCACAAGCCATCATTTCTCGGAAAGGTGCTGAGTCCACCACTTGGAAAGGGAGGGACTGCAGCACCAGCAACTTGGACAGGAGGACGACGTTCAGCTTCTGCACCGTCGGGTGCGTGCTCGCAAACTGTTGTCTCTTGGAAACGGATTCCAAGAAAGACTGCTG